ATCCGAGCCTCCAGGGTGGTCGGTCGAGCAGGTGTCTGAAGCAAGGGAGTTGGATTCGGCTCGCCAACGAGGCCGAGGATGGGGCCATCGGTAGGGAGGGCCGAAGATGGGTTCATTTTTTGGTCTCAGAGTACCCACAGATGGCGCCAATCTGTTGATGCTAAATCTTGAATAGATAGAGATGAGTGCAACTTACAAGTGGGATGGACGATCAAGAGATCGATTGGGTGTTGGATGCCGATTCTTCCTGTCCTTGGATGCTGATCCTGAATAGAAGATAAGCGAAGCTCGTGAGGTCTATGGAACCGGTGTGGAACCAGCCTAAGACCCTCCGATGCTCGAGTAAGATTGTTTTTAAGAGCTCTTGCTGTTGACTATATAGTAGTATAAAAGTCAAGCTGAAAAGTCTTACCCCTGTATTGTAGTGGGAGGGGCATACTTATAGAGGGCATTTAGTATGCTCTTAGCGCTCATTTTCGATGTGGGACTCGTGGGAGGGCCCTATGAGGTTGACACGAGTCCTTAGATATTTCAGGCGGGTGGTTCGAGGTTGATTCTGCAGAATCGGTAGGGGATACCGATTGTAGGCTGTGTTGGGCCCTGTAATGATCTTTTGCTGCTTTGAGACAATATCATCAGTAGCCTATGCCGATTGTCCGAGGCCTTGGGTGCTTGGGCGAGTTTATGAGATCCACGTGTCGTTGTACGAGTGGAGGGTCAGATATGGTACAAACAGAAGTATACATGTCTCTATAGCTGAAGTATCATTCTATAATTTTTTTTTGGATGAACAAAAGTTTAGGGAGAGATTGTCTACTCTCACCACCGCTAGGGCATATCCACAATCTCAAGCATAAATAGCTAACACTTAGCACCCAACTGCTAATTGTCACCGATATGAATTTAAGTATCATTCTAGAAATTCAAAATAAATAAAATACAGAGTTTATGATATGCAAAATAACTATTTCGCTTGGTTGATACAATTTTTGTTAAAAACAAAATAAACAAATTCATGACCAAAGAAAAAGAAACAGACTTTGGGTTAGGCTTCCGGGCGTTGAACCTGAGTTCGGTCCCTTTCAGCTCATCTTATAATAATTTAGAATATCGCTTATAAATTTAAAAAATTAAATTAAATTTTGTAGAAGTTGGGTTAGGCCTCCGGCCGTTGACCCGACCCGGAAAACAGACATGAAGTGATGAACCGACATAGCAAGACCTGCTCAACCCAAAGCTTTATCTCCTTCACGATCTCTCTCTAATATCCAAACGCTAATTCTAGCCCTAATCCTAGTCTTGGAATTCAAATAAGGGCGTCGAACAAAAGGAGAACGAGATGGAGACCCAATTCCATCACAATTACTTCGAGAGGCGCCCCATCTTCAGATCCAAGACTCCCGCTGTTAAATGGTTTAAAGAATGGTATCTATTTTTCCTTTTCTTTAATTTTTAATTTGATGTTTTATGAATTGTGTTTCTAGGACTCAATTACTGATTTTGTTTGGTCTCCGAGAAAACTTAGATGAACAATAGGAAATACAATCTTTTGAACTTCTTGGGTTGGAATTTTAGTGCAAATTCAATTTTCTCACTCTCTGAAAATCACTGCTTCGAGTGTTGTGTTTTATTTTTATTTTTGTCTTTTTGGTGTCAAATATATGAAAATAGAGGTGCACTTAGTTTTATATTTTCAATTTTCTGTCAAACTGAAGCAATGTACTTTCATGGGACTCAATTGTAGTTGTTGATGGTTGCTGTGAAGTGAGAAGGATGGGTTTGGTTATGTGATAATTTGAAAGAAAAGTAGCAATATCTAAGCCAAGACGCTGTTCAATGCTTTGTTTAGCAATTTCAAAACCAAAGTAAACATAAAAGGTCACTCCATGAAATGGGTTCATCATTTGGTTACTGTACAATTTGAGTTAAATCGCCTAATTTTATGTTTCCCCCTGAGTTTAATGCTTAGGAACTCTCAAAGTAGAAAAATCAGTTTATCGAACCCTTTCTTTTTGTTTTTCTGTATAATGATTAAGATCAATTCATTTAGAAGCAAGTGCCCACTGTAGTGCCGTGGGCTTGTATGTCCTGTGGTAGTAAGCATTTACCCTCATACCCAAGGCCAAAATTTGAATCCCTCCCCGTTTTGAAGTATTTATCCTGCATTGGCTAATAGTTTCATGAAAATTTCTGTTAGGGTTCCCCAAGATGCTGTAGCAACTGGTGGGAAGTGCTCTCTATTGAAATGGGTCACAGGTACATCTTACTTCTTCTTTCCTACCGTGTTCTATAGTGTGCTTCCTGAACATACTTCTAAGCCACTTTACTTTGCAAGTCATTTTGCAGGAGTTTTGCAAGAGTCAAAATTATAATATAGAATTAGTAAGTGTTTATGAATATAAAGAAAAAGAAAAAGAAAAGCAAGTTTCTTATCAAAAAAGGAAAAAAGAGACAAACATATGGAATTAGTAAAGTCTTTAGTATGATGTGTGCGTTCTGCATGCTAAGCTGTGATTGATCTAATACATCATAGAAGTCATGGAAGCTTTCTTGTGTACTCAATTCTTTCTTTTTCTGTGATTGTATATATATTACATAATGAATAGGCCATTAGTACATCAAGGTCATATACTTTCATCGTTGTATGCACTAGTACTCATATTCCATTAGTGCTAATGCATCTTCTGTCAGTCAATAATTTGATTTCTAAAGTGTTTTCTGGGTTGTACATTTCTTGAGTTTGTGTTGTAATGTGCCCTATAATATCTTATCCTTAGTTTTTAGTTTCTTGATATGTCATGTGAGTGATGCGTTATTTTAATTCAATGTGTTAATTTTACTTAAGGCTTGAGACTTTATGGATCACAAATGAGTTTAGGCTTAAGGGAGTCATCTTGGAATGACATGAAAAGAGAGCTGTTGTTTGTCTTTGTTCTTATGAAGCCTCAGTTTGGCCTGATTTTTTGTTTCTCATTTTTTGTGTTTTTGTTAGCGGATACAATAAAGGCTTTGAATGAGAAATCAAAAGAAACTGTGGCACCAGAGCCAGAGCCAGAACCAACAACCGAAGTGCTTTTTCTATGCAGCTATGAAGGCTGTGGGAAGACCTTTATTGATGCTGGTGCTTTGAGGAAGCATTCACACATCCATGGGGAAAGACAATATGTTTGTCACTATGAGGGTTGTGGAAAGGTATTTTTTTCAATGTTTATGATGTTTTTCCCAGATTTTCCCAGCCTTTGCTTTCCTTGTAGTGTCTGTTTACACAGATACAGTAAAGCTATGGAATTGAGATAGAAAGTTACTATCTTGTCAAAAGAAATGGAGAAGACTTATCAGCTTACTATTTTAAATTCAGATGATAAGGTGAATGTTGGAGTTAAATCCCATGTGTTATCATTATTAACTTACTATGAAGGATGTATTTGTTAAATAGTTGGTCAAATAACTTTTTTGGTTGGGCTTAAGGAAGTATTTGCTAAGTGGGGTCTACTATTAGTCAATTAACGTGAAGAGAGTATTTATTCAGTTTCTTGGTGTAATAACTTATTTCTAGAAGTTGTGAAGTCTTGTGCTGTCCCAAATATGCACTTCCCTATAATTCCTTGTTGAACTGAACCGCTTTAGTTTTAACTAAGTATATTGGTGAGTAAATCAATGGAACTCAGGGAAAAAAAATTAGTGGTTGGTACCGACTTTCCAACGAAATTTATGTTGTCTTTCTCTTCCTCTCAGGATTATTAGTTTGGTAAAACAAAGAAAAGTATTTTGTAAGTAGTTGGCCTGTAACTTTTTATTTTTCTGTAACTTGAAAAGTCTTGTGCAGTCCCAAATATGCAATCCCTATAGTTCCTCATCACACTGTAGTGTTCCTTTAAATTAAGGTATAGTGGTAAGTAAACCAATGGAATTTCAGGGGAAAAAGGGAAAAAGAAAAATCAATGGATGGATGCTGATCTTCCAGCAAAATTTCTAATATCTTGCTTAGTAATCAGAAAAATAATATTGTGAATGTTGCAGAAATTTTTGGATAGTTCAAAGTTGAAAAGACACTTTCTTATTCATACTGGAGAGAGAGATTTTCGGTGTACTTATGACGGCTGTGGTAAGGTATCATCTTTTCCATTATTAAAACCTTTTGCTATAGTTTTTCCTTGCTGTTTTCTTTCATTGTTCTCCTGGCATCTAATGTTGAATTTGTGATGGTTGGTTGTACGTTTCCCCCCACAAAATATGATCAATATTGTTTGTCAAAAAATGCAGTATGGGTGTCTGTCTCACCTTCCCTTTTCAGAATGAATCAAGTTGTATATCTAATATAGGCCTGACTAGATCCTACGAGCCTCCTTCACAACCTTCGATGATAGATTTTAAAATTTTATTGAAATGGAAAAAAAAGTGAAATTTATAGGATCAGCAAAACGGAATATGGTCATGAATTACAGTTATGGGCATCCTTAACGAAGGCTTCTTAAGATAATGATTACTGTCATACAAGTAATCAAATATTACACATCCAATTAAGAAAATAAATCCCACTATCACCCTAGCTTTTTGGGCTTCATATATTTCCTTTATTTGTTGGTGTGTGTGACATGTAGAACTTTTTATTTTTTGTGTTGTCATTAATTTCAAATCTCACATCTGCAGGCCTTCTCCCTGGATTTCAACCTTAGGTCTCACATGAAAACACATTCGCAAGAGAACTATCATATTTGTCCATACCCAGACTGTGGAAAGAGATATGCGCATGAATACAAGCTTAAAAACCACATTTCGGCTCACCATGAGAAGGTTGGTAATACTCCCCCACTTTTATTGTTTATGAAATATTTTGCCGTTATTTTCTTCATTTTTTCGTCTTTCTTATACTGAATATAGTGTTAGCTGAAATATGGAATTTTTTTTTTGGCCCAAATTCATTTAGGTTGTATTTAGATGTGTGGATTTAATATGAGGGATTTATATAGAACTTTTGACATTAAATTTGCTTTAAAATGTTGAAAGAAATATAAAAGTATAGTTTTTGATACTCTTTGTAATAGATGGAAATTGATTCAAATTATTTTGAGAGTGAATTTGAAGTAGCACATCTTTCTCAAATAGTTGGAATTCATCCTGTTAAGAAAATTGACATGTGTTTTTTTTTTTCAAATCTAATTATCTTCTTCTAGATTCACCAGTCCAAATCAAAAGCAGGTAAAGGCCATTTTCAGTACAATTCAAAAGCTTATGTTGGGTTTGATACAGAAGATAAGAATTTTTGAATTCATAGGCATGGGACAGTCCTTACTAATAGAAATATCTGAAAATAGGGCCAAACAATCTGCCTTCAATTTGGTCACTCATACTTTGCTAGACTTAAATAACATAGGAAGTATGACTTGATTCTCAATATTACTGTTAATTTTACAGAGTGCGATGGTGGACGTGCCAAAATATGCTACCCCACCTGCAGAGAAGCAAATCAAAACTCCCAAGCCTCCTGCAGGGGTTTATGGCTCTGCATCATCTGATCGCCCTTATGCTTGTCCTTATGAAGGGTGTGAAAAGGCCTACATCCATGAATACAAGCTTAAACTACATCTCAGGAGAGAGCATCCTGGCCATATGTCCGATGAGAATGCGGAGAATGCACCTAATAATGCTGACAATGAGATGGATGAAGCCAGTGATCAAGATGCCTATGCTGGAAAACGTGTGAATGGCAAGAGCCAGAAACAAAACAGGCCCAAACCAAACTTAAAGTTCCCGCCTGCAAAAGTTGTTCAGCGTAAAGGCTCAACTCCATCTCCTGCCACTATGAACACAATGAAAAAACCCTGGCCCGTCAAGGATGAAGTAGTTTACGAGGAAGAAGATAGTGAAGAGACAGAGGAGGACCGCGACAATGTTGAGGATGGTTGGAGGTACGGTGAAAACAATGATGACGATGATGAAGAAACAGAGGACGAAGACTAGATACACAGGGAGGCACTTTTATTTTTATTTTCCTTTTTCTCTTGATGGACATGGAGGCACTTTGTATGTAACCCACCTACTGCCATTTCTTTTTGTTAATTTACCTTTGGAATGGACAATGCAGTTAGGCATTTATACCACTTTCCAGCTTTTATTTTTTTATCAATACCATTTTTCAGTAGAGCAAAATGGAAGTGCAACAAAAAAAGAAAAAGAAAAAGAGATGAATGGGAGGAAAAAGGACCACTCTAGTAGTATTGAGTTGTACTCTGTTAGCACATTTTGAGCCAAGATTGTTTTCACTAATTGTGATTGACACTATTCAACAAATGGTGGAGAGGGGTTTCTCTGCAGATGCATCAACTAGGGAATTGATCGTTGATTTATTGTCTAAAGATGATGTAGATCCGGCTTTGTTGCCATTGATAAAAGAAACATTGTGAAGTTTATTTTAAACTCACCTTATAGTTAGAGCAGAGTGTAATTACCTAGTATTTGTGAGGAATTGTTAGAGTCTTCTCATACGCATATTAAAAGTTGTTTTTCCCTTCCACTTGATGATGATTGACTGAATTGTTTTTACTTTTAAATTGGAGATTTTCCTGTTAATATATGATTTTCTTTTGACAGCACACGTTCAATTTTATATTTACTTTTATTTCCATCAATTGTTCAAACTTAACTTCTAATATTAATAGAATATAAATCCTTACCTCTCTCTCGCACGCGTAAGAAGAGGCTAGTATAATTTAAGTCTTTAATTTACCAAAAAAATTACTTCAGAGTTAAATTGACAATTATGGTATAATTCAGGAGCAAAACCGGATATGAGTCTTTGTAAGTTGTGAAATTAAAAAAATTATCAATATTTGGATTGGGCTCTAAATTTAATTCTAAGAAAATGAAAATTAGCACAAAATAAGAATCAGAATATAAAATAGGTAGCTTCTCCTGAAGTCTAAACCTCAACGGGAGAGAGAGAGACGCGCACATTGAGAAAGTAAGCAGTTGTTTTTTGCGCAATGGCAATGGCAGGAGTAGGTGTAGGCTCAACCTCAACGACGTCGTTGCCGGAGGAGGAGATAACACTGACAGTGAAGTGGAGCGGGAAGGAGTATACGGTTCGCGTATGCGGGGATGACACGGTGGGCGAGCTCAAGCGCCGAATCTGCCAAGCCACCGACGTCTTGCCCAAACGTCAAAAGCTTCTCTACCCAAAAACCCTCCCTTCAAAGCTCGCCGACGACGCCGTTTTGCTCTCCTCTCTCCCCTTCAAGTCCTCCCTCAAAATGACCATGATTGGGTCTGCTCTCGCTCTCACATTTCTCTATATGTTCTTTCTGTATGATTTTATGCACACCAAGTGTTTGATAATTTGTTGCTGAATTAAATTAGTACTACGGAGGATGACATTATAGTGGATCAAGTGGAGTCTCCAGACATTGTTGATGATTTTGAGCTTCCCCGAGATGAGGCTGTTGAAATTAAAGATAAACATGGCAATAAGCAGAAGTTGAGGAGGCGTATAAGTCAGTACAAGGTTAGCTATTTCTATTTATTTTTGTACTTTTAAAGTAATTGCTGTATTTTATTTGGTCGTTTCTGCTTCAAATTCAAATTTATTTGTGTGCAAATCGGTTTGCTTATGAAAACGAAACAAACAAATAAACTAGGTAAACAGTTACCCAATTTCAGATGAATATATGCTGTTTTTTTTCTTCTTTGCATTGGATTATAGATTGAACTTCGGAATCCATGCCGGGAAGGAAAGAAACTGCTTGTGCTGGATATTGATTATACTCTATTTGATCACCGGTCCCCAGCAGAGAACCCACTTCAGCTTATGCGGCCTTGTGAGTATATTCGTCATAGCAAGTTTCTACTTTTCAAGAGTCTCCATGTGTCTCTCATTTAACATTCCCACACTGTATTTTGTAGTTCTTCACGAGTTTCTTGCAGCTGCCTATGCTGAATACGATATCATGATATGGTCTGCAACCAGGTAAGTTGTCGATTTGAAATTCCATTGCTATCTCAATTCTATAAAAAGGCACAGATAGTGATGGATTAATCAAAATTTCTATACAATTTCTACTGGTTAAGAATTTGCGACATATATATGCCCCTTATTTTTTCCCATGTTTGTAAGTGTTATGCAAATTTGCTAACTAGGAGATTGTTGCATAACATTGGAAGTGAATTATTTGGTTATTTGCTGATATTTAACTATCCTTTTCTTTTGTTGTTTATGTATTGTTGATCATTATCAATCCCAAATCCTGTAAGAAGCCTCCCATTACAGTCACTTGCATATAGATTTTTGTGGTTCATTTGAAGCAACTAAACCGCTTGATTTCAGCAAGTATACCAATAAATTCCTTCATCCAAATTGAACTGTTTTGGCAGCACAAGACTTATTTTATCGATGGATACAAATAAAGTTAAATAAATTCAACATCAAAATGACATTGGTTCCTGTCACTCTTGTTGAGTGAATTTCTCCTTTCTCTTTCTATTCCTTTATGTTCTTTGACATAATTTTCTTTGAAATGGATATTTTATTCTGGAAAACAATGGCCTCTGTATCTGGCTAAATGCAATGATAGTGCTCAGATGATAAATACCTTGATAAATAAGAATGATCAAAATAGTGGATGAAATCTAATTTGTTATCTCAACCTTTCAATCATGTTATCTTGCTAGACTGTGAATTAGGCATTTAGCAATGTGTCAAGAGGTCTGCCAGATATGTTTGTGTCTACACATGTATAAATTTGAGAGAAGTCATTTATGTTGGTGAGACTAATGAGTTTGAGAGAGTTCCTTTAAATTGCTTTTCAGTACTCAAGCGTCACCTCTTCTTGCATGTGAATGGACTCTTACAAAACAATTAAGGCTTTGTTTTTTCCCTTAGATACAAAGGAATTAATTTGAACTGATAAAAAATTGCTTAGTCTTTTTTTTCCCTCTCAGTTTTATGTAAGGTTATATCTGGAAGCTTAAGTATACAAACAAATAAAGGCTTCAAACTGCTTGCTATTAGTAGATTACAGGGAATTTTAATGAATAATGAATAACTATGGTCATAGATTTATAATCTGTTCACTTAATTTTAATGATATATATATATATATATATATATATATATTTCCTCTCTACAGCATGAAATGGGTTGAATTGAAGATGGCTGAGCTTGGTGTACTCAGCAATCCCAACTACAAAATCACAGCTCTTCTAGACCATTTAGCAATGATCACAGTTCAATCAGATTCTCGTGGGATCTTTGATTGCAAGCCGTTAGGCTTGATCTGGGCTCAATTCCCTGAGGTATGGAACTATGGATTTATTAATTATCTCCTTTTGCTCTTTTTCTTGTTTCCTTTTTTGTAACATCTGAGTGATGTTGAGAGTTTGCTATCTCCTTTGCATAACATATGAAGACACAATACCATCATTTATAATTTGCCCATTACAAGTTGTAAGGGGATTTTTTATTTTTTATTTCTAGATGGATTGCCATCATTTTCAGGCACAGTAATGAATTTTGTCTTTTTATCAATAGCATTTATTTGGGGATGGATAACAGTTCCTATGTATTGTATAGAAGTATTGTGATTTTCTTCTGCTGTCTAACGATCAGTTAGGTGATGACTACTGGTTTCTTATTGTGTTCAGTTCTACAGTTCAAAGAACACTATAATGTTTGATGATCTGCGAAGGAATTTTGTGATGAACCCACAAAATGGTTTAACCATCAAGCCATTCAAGAGGGCTCATTCTAGCCGAGACAGTGATCAGGAGCTTATGAAACTCACAACATACTTGCTTGCCATTGCGGAACTTGATGACTTGAGCACCCTTGATCATAATAACTGGCAGTCATTTAGTGAGGACAATGTCAAAAGACGTCGGCATCAATGATCTTTAAAGGTAACTTCATTTTATATCATTTTCCTAATCAAACTGTTCTCTTGATAATTAAAAATTAAAAATTACCCAACTGTTCTTTTATCCTAAATATATTTACAATTGTGTTAGTCTATCTTCTCCCCATGTTCAATAGTGTGAGCATCGACCCTTTTCACAAATTAATTGTTTTATTTATTTTTGGGATCCATAACTGGTCCATTCATTCCTCATGGAAACTGTCAGCTTGGGTGATTCATGACGAGCCTTTGTACGTCTTAAATGTGATTCCTTTTAAATTCTTGCTATTTCTTTGTTCTTGGATCATCATATTTGTAATGTTTCAAAACAATATGATGTTTCACATCCAAATATATCTTCTTTCATTTCAGGGTTGCCAGTATTTGCTTCCTCTCAGGGATGAGCTGAGTAACTCGAAGCCTTTCATGGGATCATCAGTAACCGATACTCACTGTTTCCAGATTTGTATAAATATCTTCTTAAATGTTAGAGCATATAGTTTGTGCTTGAAGGGCAGTGTGTTTAATATTTAAACCTATATTTCTACGTATAACCAGCGGTTAGGACCGTAGCATGTCCTTGGAGCCATGAGCACATGCTATCTTACATGAAGTAGTCTTGATTATTAGTGTAAACAGAGATAGAGTCAATAAAATTATTCCCATCCACTGTTTTCCGCCTGAAATTGTATCCGCCTAGCGTTTATGCTATCTATCTAAAATCTAATTATGCTTATTTCCCTTGAATTTGAAGTTGAAAATTGCTTCTGTCCAGGCTTTTAAAAAAAAATTGAAGTTAGCGAAAAAATAAAAAACAAAAGTAAAATCATTTTCTTTCAAAAACAAAAGTTAGCTCTGTATGTTTGTAGCATAATTTATAATGCCAAACGCGAATTCAAAATTACAGTGGTATACCATCTATATTTTCAAATTTTCATTTTAAATCACATGTTTTGAGAATTGGCTTACTCCTTGCTAGCCCATTGGGCAATTATTTTTTTTCTCATGTTTTAGTTGCTTGGGCTTTTGAGCCCCTAGTTTCACAAAAGAAAACAAAAATTGTATTGAAAATGTTGAATTGAACCCTCACTTAAGTCTCTCATCCATACCCCTTATTGTAGCCTTTCCGCAACACTTCTCTACCCATCCCACTTTGATAAGGTAACATGAGTGAACTAGGAAGACATTGTGGTGGCTAAAAAACTTCACGATTT